TATAATATATGAAGTTTTCAAATATCTCGATTTCAAGTAAATCGTCTTCGTTAACCGTACACTCAAGGTTATAAAAACCTTACTCGATAACAACACAGTAGTGTAGATACAAAATAAGAAAACATAATTTTTGTATAACTACGCAGTGTTTATTTAACAAACATCGCTAAAAAGAACATGTAATCGATTCATATACTCATAAACTCGGGTCGGCGTAACAATTTCAATGAAACAAAAATAAAATCGAAGTAAACAGTTAACACAACTATACACTTTTACACAAAGTATATATATATACAGTGTCTATAGATACTGTTAGACATTAATAATATGAATGGAACGCAAAATTTAAAATGCACAAGAGTTCACACTTTGAGACAGGCACTTGCAATCCTACAAAGTACTCACGTAAACACTTAAGTAAAGTAAAAGTAATAACACTGTAAGTGGCAAGTTATCCTTTTGGTAAACTGCCTTTGTAATATCAAAACAAAAAAACACATTTTTTTAATATATTTTTATTATTGATAATTACAATTAAAAATGTATAAAACAAGCTACGATTTATTTTACGTCATATTTCTGTATAAAAAAAACAAGCCAGGAAAACGTTATCACAATAACGTTTAAAACAAAAAAATTTGACAAAATGTAATCAAAAAATCAAAAATATTTGCTATTAACAAATTTGGAATGGACAATCAAATATCATTAAACATATTACTATTTATAATGTAAAATAAAAATAAAATTCTAAATTCTTTTCAAACATTATATTTAAAAATATTTTATATAAGTGAATTATATTTTGAAGCCATGAAACGTTAAACAAAAAAATTATTTTGTTTTAGTATTAAAAACTTCAGGCATAAAAATTGCATAATAGATATCTACCAAAAATAACATGATTTTTTTACATTATTACTCATAGAAGACACGTCGGAACGCCTTTCTTTTTTTGCCGAGTACTACATTAAATAATCTATAATTTGATTTAGTTTTGAGCTATATACAAGTACTATTATACTGAAAATTGTATGATTTTTGGCTCATGAGTACATTGTATTAAATTTAATTTAACGTAGTTAAAATAAAAGACAGGTATATGAAATATCATCAATAATTGAAAAGAAACAGTACTTTGGTTAATGTTTGGATTTTCAAAAATAGTAAGTCGCCCGCAAGTCAAATGTACAAAGTATAATTAATAAAAATTTCGTAATAATTGGTCCAGTTTTTAAAAAGTTACTATAAATAAATTAAAAATTAAAAACCCAGCACATTGGGGATGTGCCTAGTTGAGACAAGTATTCATATAAATGATAAAATGTTTATTTTTTGTAAGGTATTTTACAAGGGTTTTCCATAGTAATGAGGTCACAGATTATTATAAAAGTTTCATAAATCTAATTTACATGTCATTGAATGCGATATGAGGATGGCTGATGTGTGCATAGATAATGTGGAAGATTGTGTCAAGTGGAAGTTTAGGATAATGGTGGTCGACCTCAAGTAGATAAGATAAAGGTGATGAAAAGAAGAAGACGTGAATATACCTTACATAAAATATAAATTTAAACGTATTTTGAATATTATGCCTCCCCTAAGTTATAAAATACGACTGAGTATTTAAATTAACTTAAATTGTCCTTTTTAGTAATCACATTCGATGCACGGTTATCGCGTCGGTAACAATTCAGTCATTTACGCTCATTTTTCCTATTAACACTATATGGCCAGTGAACAACCTGTACCGCGGTATTCTCCGTGTATTCTCTAGTTATTCATCCATCACTATAGAAATAAGTAAGGGCTTAAAGCAGAACCTTAGTGCACTCCTACTCTTAACCTAAAATCTTTTGTTACTCCCCTCATACTTCTTACCCTGGTACAAATACATATTCTCTAATATATTAATGTAGCTTTTCGGGACTCCTTTTCTCATTAATGACCACTTTAAAGCCTATACAGCTTTTTCTTCTTTTCCTTATACTTTTCTATTAGTTATCTCACACAAAAGTGTGGCACCAGTGTTGATTTACCAAACACAAATTAAAACTGGTTTTTAGATACCAATATCTCATTTTTTATTTTTTTTTATCTATTATCTTTTCTCAAATCTTCTTACTATGACTCATAAGTTTTACAAATTCCACACTCCTGCATGCTTTGCCTCCTTTACCTGTAAATATCAGCACCACAATACTATTCCTCCATTCTTTTGGTATTTTCCGTTCTAATAAGGTTTTATTAAAAAAACCCTTCAACCACCTTCTGCCAATGCCGCCTAATATTTTCCATACTTCTTCTGGCACTTCATCTGGTCCTACTGCCTTATTCTTTTTCATTGGNAGGTTTTATTAAAAAAACCCTTCAACCACCTTCTGCCAATGCCGCCTAATATTTTCCATACTTCTTCTGGCACTTCATCTGGTGCCTTATTCTTTTTCATTGATGTTACAGCCTCCCATAGTTCTTTCTCGCTAATTAAATCTATCAGTCGCTCGTTCTACAAGATATCGTCTAATTTCTTTATTTGGATACTCTCGTTCAGTAATTTTTCAAAATACTCTTTCCACCTCCCTTTATTTCTGCCTTTTCTTAACATTTTCTCGCTTTACACTCTCTCTCTTCCATAAAATAATGAATCTGTGATCAATTAGCCCCACACTTAGAAGTTATAAAATGTTCATCTCTCTTTCTAAAATAAGTATTAGCTACAGCAAGATCATACGATGCTTTGAAATCCAGGATTCTTTTTTTAGCCTCATTCTTTTACGACTGCATAGGTGCCGTGGAAGTATTATTGTCCCTATCCACAGGGATTTTTTTGAGATAATTTCTAATTAATAATAACGAGTATTTATATATGAAAACTGATTTTGATTTTAAATATGTTAAAAATAAACCGTGCAAAATTTCGACTCAAAATTTCATGTCTAACTTGTTTTTGTGGTCCTTTAAAGTTGAATTTTATGATAGATTATAGACTTTAAAATATTGAACTTTTAACCATTTTTTTAGTTCAACTTTCAAGTTTGAAATTAATATCATTAAATAAAAAATTATATGAGGATTTAAAAATGGTTTTATTCATGTTGATGAATAGTCAGGAACTATAATTACTATTAACATTAAATGTATGAAAAAAGCTTAAAATTTCATACTAAATTTAATTATTATAATTCGTATTTATTTATATATTATATTTTTAAATAAAAAAACCACTAATCAGGATATAATTAAAGAAATAGGAGTTGATGTTATTTTTGTAATTATCCATCAATTTCTTAGAATTAAACACTATCTATAAATTTACATAGAAGCGTTTCTTATGATAGTGATTTTAATCACTGTCACATATTATCTATACTTATCCCAAAACTATGTCACGTCCACACTGTGCCGCGATCCACTGTGCTACCGTTTTTTTTCATTGTGTAAAATTATGTAAAAGGTTTTGAATTAATATAATCTATATTAGATGTTGTGGATAATTTTCAAAAATTTTAGACATGTCTTTAAAATCCTCCCTGTACTTAAAAATAGTAGGTTTTTCATAAAAAATAATTATAAGAAAGCTTATTATCTTTAATATACTTTATTAAAATTTCATTTGTACTAGTATTTTTTAATGTTGAGTAATTTTAAGGTATTTTTTAATTTCTGAGTTTGAATTGTTTTTATACAATTTTTGTTGACGTCAGGTTCAACTAAATAAAATCAGGTTCTTCGCCGCATACACCAACAAGTAGATCTAGTAAAAATTGAAAATTTTCATGGTAGACATAAAAAAAACCATACACCATCAATAAACGAACACCTGTTCATTTAAAATAAAGGGCAATTTTCCATTTATTACTGGAATAAAGGAATATTTTTCAAAATTATAGCATTAATAGTTTCAACGATAGATACGTCTACTGATCTTTTAATGTATTTTTGAGAAAATCAGTTTAGTAAGAGTTGATCAATATGACATATGAACAAAAAAAACACGGTAGTGTAAAATCAATTTGTTCTCAGCGACGCTCTAGAGTTAAAAATATTAATTTTCATTAAATTTGTACGAATAGAATTACTGTTATGATCACATGATCATGATTTGTGTATAATCAAATATTAGCAAACAAGTAACTGGTTAAAGATTGTTGTACTAGTATAACAGTTATATTAGTACAACAATCTTTTTTTTTTTTGTTAATTTTATTACGTCTAATTTATCTGAGAAAAGAGATTTTTCTATTCGAGTTTCTTTCTACTTTTAATTTACTAAGTAAACTCAATAATTCAGAATCTCTAATTACTATTATTCATTAACATATCTTATACATTTAGACCTAGATTTTTATGTTAATTAGATTTTATCGGATTAAATACTCATCCACAATTATCCGCAAGTTAATATACAACTTAAGTATACTAAAAAAATCTCTCATAACGATTACAAACAAATACATAGGCAAAACCTGTATCTAATAATAAGGTAATCCTTATAGTTATTATAGGTGTTTTATTATTAGAAATTTTTATCAATTTTTATAATTTATATAAATAATTTAAGATTGCCACGTAAAAATTTAAATAATACCAATTATTAAAAAACGAACAATGTAAATATAATATTATTAGATTATTATAACAGTAACGTAATTAGGATTTTTTCAAGGGGGGCCTCACCACATATTTCAGTAGATTACCATTTTATTTTTAAATCAAAGCTAATGTATAATATTAATAATAGATAATAATATTTCTATTTGTTATATAATAATCGAATTCATAATAAAAATAAATATTTTAATTTATTAAGCAAACGACTCTTTATTTTAAAAAATAAAACAGGAAAAAATTACCAAAAATGAAAAATAGCCTTTATTCAAGAGGATATCACATCCCTTGACACACACCTTAAATACATCACTGAATTACAACATTGTTATTACTAATAATCTTTAAGTATAATTTGTAAGTATTCAATTATAATAGTCGTGACTTACCTAAACCAAGCTACACGTGTCATGGCGGTATAATGTGTACGATGATAAGGTTTGTGTGACCATGTTAGTCGCATGCCGCGCCGCGTACTGAGATTCCGTTAGCAAAGCAAAAGCACGTTGCTTTCTGTTTCATAGTGAACGGCTTTTGTACGCTCATTCATGTACGCGGTCGCAAATAACATCACAGACATTGGTAGCATAAAACGTAGGCGGGTCTTATTCGGTGGTCATCTGAAGACTATCCCTAGGTAGATATGTATTGCACCCCTACGTAACATAATAATTTTGTAATATGATAATAAATATGATTGATTAAAAGAATATGACCTAGAGGATCCTCAAGACCAAACCTTCAAAGGCTGAGTTTCAAATCACCATCGATAAAAATAATTACGCATTAAAGATACATTTTTATTTATATTATAGGATAGTACAATAATTTTTTAAGTTTAATATCCACGTGAGCAACTCCTAAGTGCGTCACTGACTGTGATTAAAATTGTAGCTTGATATATTAATAGTTTACTACATAGTTAACATAATACTCCATAATTATTTAAGTAGTAATATTAAACTGTTGGTAATTAATTGTAGGGTTACAAGCCGAAACATGATATGACAATATTGAGTACGATATTAATTTTTATGATAATAACAGTGCAGAATACAACAATGGCATCAGACCAATTCATTTGAAAAATTTCTCTACTAAAAACTTACTGAGTGGTCGAATAAAGGATGAAAAAATGTTATTCAATTACATTTTACAGATATTTTTTTGAATCAAACAATTTTTTTCTTTACAAAAACTTTGAATTTTCAATAGTTTCCAAAAAATGAGTGTTAATTGTATATCTCAACAAAAACACTCCACAAAAACTCAAAAAAAAATCCTAAATGTTAAAAAATAAGCTCTAAAAGTTTCGATATTATTTACATTAAAGCTAAATTTGAATTATAGATATCATATACGATTATGTTAAAATTGATTACAAAAAATTTAACTGAACTTGGCGACTTCTTTGGTTAGCAATGTATATTTTTGTATTTCTGTGGGTCTAAATCATAATAAATGCTCGACAATGTACATAATTAGTATATTAAGTCATCAATGATAATTTCAATATGGTAAAATATTACAAGGCCATAATAAAATATTGAAATATGTGCTAATACAAAAGAGAAATATTAGAGTATTTTTTATTTTTAATTCATCAGCTAAGTTTTGACGACGTTCATCTATACGTAAAATTTACTATCATATTTTGGAAATGTTAAAAACTTGAAGTTTTCTCTAAAGACTTAATTTTACAGTAATCAGAAAGTCTAGATTATTTTCTTTTAACTTGAGTTAGTAATAAATTTGATATCTCTCCAAATCTAAAAAGTGGTATACAAATTTAATTTATTAAAGTTCCAATTAAACTTTCAGTTAACTGAACTTATTTAAAAAATATACCAAATTATCAATTTTTAATTGATTTACCGGAAAACCTATTTTAAGATACATCATAAAATCGATGTATCTTATCTTACATTTTACTTGTATATAATTCTCGAATTTGGATCAATCAAAGTTTTAAGTTTAAAACTAAGCAATACTATAGGCGCATAAACTTTTATTGAACCCACATTTTATCGATCAACTTTTTATTGCCATTATAAAATTTCGACTTTCAAAGTAAATATTTTGGGTATAAACCCTATTTGATTTGTTCATATTATTTTACTTAGAATTTCTATTACAAAAGCTACATTTATTTTTATAGGTCTATACATATAATTACATATTATATGTATATTTAAAATATGAAAATTAATTTGATATTTTTTGTGACCAATAGGAGAAATAATTAAAGCCAAGAATTATATCGTACTCCATACGACTGGAACAAATATCATTGTTTGACTAACATATCATTTATTACATATGACAATAATATATATATATATATATATATATATATATATATATACAGGGTGATTTTTTTACCATAACCCACTCAATTACTTACAGAATAATAATAATTTAAAAATTTTATTTTATTACTATCTTTAGTTACACATTATTCTTGAATTATTAACTATGTAATACTTTTTAAGTTCATCCCTTATGCCTGGTAAGGGTGTCAACTTTGTTTTTTTAAATGGTAACACATATTTTTAATTTAATAAAATGTTTGAGTTTTAATTTAATAGTAAATGGCATTTGAATATTTAATATAACTTTATTTGTTTATTAGATATAAACATTTAAAGTTTTAAATTTTTGAGTTAATATATAGGTATAATACAGAAGGGATTACAAATACAGGTAGCTAATTGATTTTTTATGATATTGCTATCACAGTCACGGATTGTTTTTATCAATGATAGTAAGGTACATTGTTGTGAGTTTATAAATACACTAACTGACAATACAAAAAGTATATCTATTGATAGTCATAATTGATAATAAACAAATATAGTTATATTAAAAATTCAAATGCCATTTGCTATTAAATTCAAAAGGGATGAAAAATATCATGTTTTTACTACATATTATTTTAGTGTTTTTTGAATCAAACAATATTTTCCTTATCAAAAATTAAAAATTCTCAGTAGTTATTGAGTAAACGAGTGTCTTATCCTTAATGAATCACTCTGTATACTATTAATAATTTATACAATTGTTATAATAATATTACAAAAATTAATTTTTCTTATAAGAACATAGATGTTACGTTATATAAAATACAACCCTGTAGTCCCTACAGGGTTGTATTTTAAAGGGGTATAAAGAACGTGAATCTTTGAAACCCATTTTAAAAATTCATGGGACAACTAAATTTTTGACAAAAAATGTTATTTATATTTATCATATAAATATAAAAAAAATTTCTAAATATGCAACAGCATATTTTTATTTTGAATATCGACTTGACTATTAACAAAAACAATAAAAAATATTTCAATAAAATTAAATTTTTTATGGTGGCATTATTAAATAGTTATAAATATACGTATACTATTATTAATTATTAATTAATTTATTGATGTTTATCCTGCAAAAACTATTAAACTTTGCATTTGTACTCACGCATTTATAATATTTGAACCAATTTCGATATACCAAACTTTGTGTAAAGTTAACACAAAAATGTTTATACTGTAAACAGTTTTTTTTATTTTGTTTATTTTCAAATACTTTATAAGGGTTAGCCATAGTAATGAGACCATCAATTTTTATAAAAGTTACATGAATCTAATCTACATTAAATAAACTAAACTTATATTAATTATTTTTACACCTCAAAGTTAAGAAAAGCGACCTTGAATTTTTAATTCAGTTTAAATAGTTCTTTTTATCAATGCTTACACGTAGTGTACGGTGGCTGCATCGTAAACTTAACAGCCTTATACACTCAGATTACGAAATTCAAACCCTGCCAGCCGAAATAACTTTTTTACATTTTTTTCTTAATTCTTTTTGAGGTGGAAACAAATTCAAGATGAATAATAATAAATAACATTCAATCAAAATATTTAATGGATATCGACGATCCTATCATTTTAGTCTCCCCTTGTGAGCAGGGCTGGATTTAAGGGAGGGCTGTGTGGGCTGCAGCCCAGGGGCCCCCACAAATTCGGTATACATTGGTATCACAAATATGATTATAATTGTTATTTAATAAGTAAAAAATATATTTCCTTGTTTATGTATAAGGAGCCCCCACAATGCATTCCGCCCAGGGGCCACCACATAAATAAGTCCGCCCCTACTTGTGAGAACAACTTTCTTATTCATATTAAAATATATTACTATATGGTTTATTTTTGTGTCTATCGTTAATTTTTCTCAGCTCTCACTCGACCAATTTTAATAACCAATACGTTAAAAGAATACAATTTTAATCTTGTTGAACTTATAATCCCCAAACATTGGAAAAAATCCTTTAATTTTAGAAATTCAGACAAATATCTCAAAATTGCGTTATTATAAAAAATAGCAACTTCAAAAAAAATTTTTTTTATTAAATATCTCAACATTTATAGAAGTATAAAATTTATTTTTATACTGAATTACACAATAAAATAAAATCAGTAAAATCATATATTTTTTAATGATTATAGACCAATATATACTTAATAAAACCAAATTCTTATACTGATTTCAAGTCTAAAATTAGATTTTTTCTATCACTTTTTTTTGAGATTATTACTAATTAGAAATACAGGAAAAAATTAATTAAAACATTTTTTTTTATCAAATTATTATTGATTTTTATTATATTAAAAATACTTAATCCTTGCAAAATTTCAATTCAATATAACATTTGTAACAATATAACACTACATTTACATGTTCAAATAAATATTTGTATTAATTCTACGTACGTGTGAAAACACTAGATATCGAGAGAATTTTTGTTGTCTATCGTGTTAAGCTAAATTTCATTAAAAAAATACCTGGGCTACACTAAGCTAAGATACTATACCATTTATATTACGCTGCTTTTTGGAAAGACAACACGTAAAGGCCCTTGCCAACCGACGAAAGAATTTTTTTACCGTCATTGTAATTTGATTGTTTGCAAAAAATCGATGTATCAAAATACTTTTTTCACAATTTATTGTCAGTAATAGTATATAGGCACAAAAAACTAGCTCTTCTAGACCAAATTCAACAACAAAGTAATATGTATTTAAAAATAAACATTAGTGTAATATCAAATAATCCATGGCAACTTGATTTAGTATTTAATAATTTGAAGATACTTAAATATTAAATTAAGAGATGTTTTATTTTGATACTTACGTTAGTGTACAAGTGAGAAAATGAAGTTTTGAATTTATTATTCTTACTAATAAATAAAAAACTTATCTTCTTCTTCTTCCTCGCTTTAATCCCAACTACTTAATGTCGGACATTCTTATCCAAACTAAATAATATACTTATTAAAAATAAAAAGAAATAACCTGTAAAAAATTTATCAAAACATCCCTGGTGGGGATCGAACCCACGACCTTTGGATTAGAAGTCCAACGCGCTATCCTCTGCGCTACAGGGACCTGATGGAAATCATAAAGTTTTTACTATTATTTAAGTTAAATATTTAAATTAATGATTAATTAAAAACATTTTGTTTATAAATAAAAAAAGAAGTAATAATTTACTTTAGAACTATTAAAAAATTAATTAAAAAGATTTATATTATAGTATAACAATCAGAAATATCAAATTATTTTATCTATGAACATATTTATCATGTTCTTATCTTATAGACTTATCAAAATGTTAACGGTCACCATAGATACTTCTTTGTTTATATTTTAAAAAGACATTACACAAATGGCACAAAACTCTATCAAAATCATTATTAAAATTTGGAAGTATTTCTTAAAAATAGTTTTAATTAACTTAAAACAGTCGCTTAATGATATAATTTATTAAAATTTGTGAATATGACGTTCTAATTTTTGTTAGACTTAATTATTGATATACTAATTTCCAAATTTATCATTTTCAGTGTTAAAATAATTTTATTATGGATATCGATAAATCAAATAACTTCATATTCAGTGATAAACTTATTAATGAAGATATGGATAACTTAAATGAACTATATTCATGGTAAAATTATCAATGGTTTAGTAAATAAACGAGAAAGGTTAAAAGGCTAAACTGCTCAAAACAATTTTAACCATTTTTCAGTTATCATTTTAAATATTTTTTAATTTTTTTGGATAAATGTATGTGCAGATTTTGATATTTCTATGATATGTTTCATACCATAAATTTATTATTATCAATTATACCAAAATAATTATTAAATTTGAAATATTTATTTTCAAGTAAAACTTGTTTTACAGAAAAAAGTGGTATAAGACTTATACCACTTTCACTCTAACACCCCAAAATATTTTGAGTACATTAAAACCTTTAATCATAAATTTTATCCTCAATATGCAAGGACGAAACCCTCTTGAAATAAAAATTACCATACGTATTACTATCAATTTATTTATTTTTTTAATAAAACAAACACTCTTATATTTATATTTAGTATGTGTTATTGAATATGACGTGAGATACATAATTATCTAATGCAAATTTATTTTTATAATTTAGGTTTGAAAATAGAGGTTTAATAAATAAATTAAGAGCATATGTAAAAAAACAATTGTTAACATCACTTAAAAATCCAAGTTTGTTGAATACCAACAAGCAAAATTCTCTATCTCCTAAGATCCTAGCCTTTAATTTGCTTATAGCAGATTTTTTTATTTATCAAGAAATTTTCATTACACTTTCTGTTTTCATGGTTGAGGTAAATACAAATTAAATATATTCCTATTTCTTTTATGCAAACATTTAATAAGTGATACTATTTTTAAGGTTCCATCATTAGAAAATCTCCATGAGTTTTCTATTTATGTTGATCAAGTAGGTACTTTTTCTGAATTGCCGACAAACAAACCTCGATTTCAATTTTCTGAAGTGCAAGATATATTAAATGCTTTAGGCCTACACTCGAACTCAGATATTGTAAAATATGTACATCAAATGTATTCTAGTGATAACAATGAATCACCACTAATTATTATTATATTTAAAGCTTTATCTATAGTAAATATCAATCAAAAGTATGTTAAATTATATTATACTTTATATAAATTCTCATTCTTATATTTAATGATTCATTATAGTTATTAATTTTAGAAACACTGATAATTATGAAGTCAGTCCTGAAGAATTAATTGATATTGAAAATTGCAATAAAAAATGTACAAATTGGCCGGAAGAAATGGATAGTGTTTTAAACTCGCTACATTTAAATGATCTTCAGTTAAATACTATAAAACAGTTTTTAAATAAGTACATTTTTCAAAATATATATCTTATTTTTGTTGTAAACTTGAGAATAGTTAAATTTTAGATTTTACCATACTAACAATTTTAAAGTATTATCTTTGATGAATGAGTATGAAAAACTTAAAAAATACAATACTGAAATTATTGATCGAGTGTGGGAAATTGAAAAAACGTTTACTACTCGGTATGATTCATTGCTACAGGAAAAAGAAAAATTAAACCATTTATACGTAATTGCGGAAGTAAGTATGACATTTGAATAGTTAACAATATATTAATATCTTTATTTAATGTTATTAAAAAAAATTGCACATGATAAATAAATTCTACAATTTATAAAATATAGATGAATGCTATATATAATTTTGTTGCCAATTCCAAATCTGGTTGCAGATTTGTTCCATCACACCTATTTCTTGAAATAATTACACACTTAAAAAATTAAGTTAAATTTAATTCGTAAAAAAATATAAACAATTTTTTTGTCTTGACACTCTCAAAATTTGTTTTTATTATGTTATGAAAGAGAAATTCATAAATCTATGTTTCACCAATTAATATATTTTTATGCCAAACACCACAGTGATATAATTAAATTGTATAAAATTTTTCAAAATAATATTGAATCTTTTATCATATATCATCTTTTATGTTTAAAAATTCTATATCAAAATATTGTCTACATAATGTTATTGCTGTGATTTTAAAGATAGTTTGAAAACTAAGTGCACAGACAGACGTCTCTAAAAAATTTCATACAGTTTCAGAAGTGCTACCATATCATTTTTAACTTTCCATTATTCATTTGGTGGAAAATTAGGACAACATGGTAAAGACATTGAAATTAGCATTAAGGGTTTTTCATTCATAAAAAGACATTCTAACATAATAAGTGTACTGTTCCAGTGAGTTTGTGACATCTTGTTTTTCTTTTATAATACGACAATTAAGTTATTTTTGTTTTTCGCGAAGAAGTCTAATTGCTGCTTGGCTATGTTTGAAATGTCCAACAATAGATCAACACATTTTTATTGATTAATTAACTTCTATTTCATCAGTACTAGAAGCTCTAGTAGTATCATTATTAAAATCTTCAATATTTTCACTTTTTATGGCATTGTTGAATTTATGAAAAACGCATGAAATACAATCAGGCACAAGTGATCTAATTGTAATCTTTATATTCGCACCAGAATCTGTTACAATCACAACGACTACAATAGATCAATCATTTATGATATGTGTTAAAATTTTAGACAAATATTTTGCTGTATGACTATATTCTAGATTTTTTATAACTAAAACATACATTTTTAAGTTAAAGTTTACATTGAAAAAATGTGTAATCACTGTAATAAAAGAATTAGTACTTATAGGTCCAAATATATGAATTAAATCCTACATATTTTGCAGATGACAACATAGATTGGACCGTTTCACGTGTAAATTATAAAGATTAGGTATGAGTGTTGTTGCTATAATTTTCTTACTTGGTAACTTTTACCACGATTCCAGAAAACTATCAAGTATTTTAAATTCATAAACTTTGCTCTCTGAATGTAAACTAATCCTATCAATCAATATCATTTTTAATTTTTATTTAAAAATAATTTTACATTTTACAAGAAGAGGTAGAGAAAGACCAAAAAAGAGATGGAGGGTTGCTATTGAATGCGATTTGAGGACAGCTGATATGAGCGTAGATTATGTGGGAGATTGTGTCAAGTGTTAGTTTAGGATAAGGGTGGCTGACCCCAAGTAGTTGAGATTAAGGCGAAGAAGAAGAAAAAGACTATTACAAACGTAAAAAATTTAAAACGCGCTGTACACTTAATCAATGTTATGCCTTTACAAGACAATGGAACAGGTAATTCTACACTGAAAACATTATTAAGTATAAAATAAGACATTAGTATTTATAAATATTTCCGTTGCTCATAAAACAAATCTCTCCGATAAAACTGAAAAATATCTTTGGTCATCGAAAAAAAAACTGTTTTTTAATTTTCGAAAACTTAAATTAAATAAAATGGTAATTTTTACTATTGTTAAATGTGTAAAAATTTATCTTAAGTATTCGTTAATTATATTCTTATTATAATTAGGTGTACATAATAAAAATTTTAAGTAGTACAGATTCAAAAAGTTATTCAATAGCTTAAAAAATTCGAAAAAGCTCACCACTAGTTTCAAGAAAAACAATTGTTTTTAGTTTTTATGAATTGTTAAGAGTATAATTATGGCTTATTTATAATTAGTAATTACTTCAGAAAATATATGTGATGGAACAAATCTGCGACCAGATTTGATATCAGCAACGAAATTCTATATAGTAATCATCTAAATATTGTTAACCACAGAATATTTTTTTTATCTTATGCTATTGATAAATTAATATTTTTTTTTTTTATTAAGGAAAAAGAAAATAAAATAAGAGAACAAATGCAAATTTTTAATATTGAACATAATAAACAATTAGAGAACATTGAAGCTCAAAAACAGGAATTAAAAATCAAAGAAATAAAAATTCAAAATTATGAAAAATTGTAAGCATCCATATTTTATCTTTTATTTTAATAAAATACCTATAATTGTGTCAAGTAGAAATATAGGATAAGAGTGGCCAACCCCAAGTAGTTGGGATAAAGGCGAGGAAAGAAGAAGAATTTGAAATTTTTACTTATATTTATAATTCTAGATTAAAAGAAGAAAAAACTATTAACAATGCGGAAAGTATAAAATCAACAGATTTCATTGATAAAATAATTGACAATCAAAATGCACATTTGCCAAATGAACAAGAAATAAAAGTAAAGCTTGAAAGGTTGAATCACTATAAAAAAAAATCAAATATAGATGTAGAAGTTGATGATGGTGAAAATATCTCATTAAGTGAAGTTTTGATGGTTTGATAATATTTTTGTTTAATAATACAGTTAACATAGATTAAAAACTATTTTATATGTTGTATAGTTAACTAACTTTTAAATTAAAATATTTTAAATTGTTAAAAATTCAAATATGTGGATAAGGCAAAAAGGTGTTGTTCATCATTTTTGTGGAAAATCAATTATTAATGTTTAATGCTATTGCTGCGATTCTCTAAATTTTAAACCTATTATTTTATTTTTACGATATTTTTGAGATCAACTATCTATGTTTAAAATTTATACCTTAACACCATTTATTAACATTCATTATTTTTAATTTATCTCTCAAGTAATATTACAAAAAAAAAACCAGCACAGGGTGATCGCGGCCCAGTGGTGCCGTGGTATAGTTGAATCAAGTATAATGATATTTGACAGTGATAAAAATCACTATCAAAAAAAAAAAAGCTTCGANAATGATATCTGACAGTGATTAAAATCACTATCAAAAATAAACGCTTCGATGCAAATCTTTAGATAGTGTTTAATTTTAAAAAAATTGGTGTTTTATTCCAAAAGCTACATGATCTGCTGGTTCCTTATTAATATCTTGATTAAAATAAAGTATGTCAAATGAAAAAGGGTTTATTAAAAAATATTATTTCTCAAAAAAAATTTGTGTGGATCCATAAACTTTTCAATAAGTTATAGCATTATAAAGTTAAATATAATATAAAAAATAAAATCGAGAATTTTCACACGAAAATAGCATTTGGTAGCCATTTTCGCCGTGAAGACAAGTCCAGAGGTCAATTTTTTTTTTTTTAAATTAAAGTATATTACTTAAGCTTTAATTTAAGATATATATAAAAGTGTCAGATCTTCCGGAACATTTTCAAAAGTTAAGTTGAAAAAGTTAATTTTTTGTAAAAAAGTTGTCATTTTAAATCCCCCCTGTGGGCAGGTTAAGTGTCAAATTTACAAAAAATATTACCAAATGATAGGTAAAGACATCAAGCATCTGTAAAAATTATATTAATTATATTGATATGTTCATTTTTGATAAAGTTATGGCAGTTTTAAGTAAAAAAAATTGAAAAAATTTCGAAAATTAGCGATTTTTAAATTTGTTATTTTTTTGGAGGTTTCCCCCATTTACGGGAACGAGGGAAATTTTTTCAATTTTTGAGAGTAATGTCTTCGACTAGATATGATTTGTGATCTTTTGACGAATCGTTGAAAGAAATCCGTTCGGTGAGAGCTGAGAAAAAGTGATAACAGACACAAAAAAAAAACACATCATAGTAAAACCAATACCTTCTCAGCTTCGCATCGAAGCTAAAATGTAATTTATGATCTTTTTACTTGGAGGCGTTTATACGTCTCAACTGTCTTCATTACAACAGGGAAAAAACTTAAAAAAAAAATTCCTATTACTTCTAGTGATAATAATATTTAATTAAATTTAATATATAATAATTATTAAAATTAATAATAATTTTCAGGATAGAGAAATTATTAGAAGATTGCAAAAAGAAAACAATGAATTTCGTGAATTTAAAATAATCCAAAAGAAAAGAATTGATGAACTAACTGAAATAGTTGCCAATTTGAAAAAAATAATTGAAAAAACTGATCAAACCTCTAGATTTGATGATTTTTCTTCTAAAAATGTAAGAAAAAAACTAACATTTTTAGAAGACCCAAAAATAAAATATTATGCCTCACAAAATTATTCTTCGACAACTGATCTTTCAACATCTTTATTTGAATCAGATAATCAAACTGAAGATGAAACTGTAAAGGAGTCTTGTACTAGGTTAAAAAGGTTAGAAATTCATTCTGATAAAATTAAAAAGAGTTATAATGATTTCCAAATGCAGCATTTAAGGAGTGAAACAGATTATAAGAAGAGGACAAAGAATAAAAAATTTGGTAATGACATTCATTCTAGTTTATCAGATGGCTCCGATTCTTTTTTTTCCAAAATAAAAGATCAAAAGATCAGTCTAAAGCAAATAGCTAATGAAATTGGATACCGACGATCAATAAGACATTCTTATAGTACCTCATTGAATAATAATGAAACAATTCCCAATTTATTAAAAAATTATAAATATAAGGATCTTATCAATGCAGAAAAAATAATAGAACAATTGCCCAATACATGTGATAAACCACTCACTAGTTTTTCAAATATAATTAATAGCTCATCACCAACTAAATATAATGATAACATCTCATTTATAAATCAATCTCATTCAGTAGAAGAGCCATTAAATTTGAGTAAAGAAAAGGATGTGTTATTAACCACAAGCAATATACCACAAGAAATAACACCATCTAAACTTTTCTCAAAAAATGATACAAAAAATTACCAATCAGAAACCGTTATTCCAAATAATTTACAAACAAGTATAAGTATAAATGAAAATTTAAAAACTGACAATAGAAGTTTGCAAATTGATGAGAAAAATTCTAATGATCATCTGAGTATTCTCATTAATTCTGAAAGTAAATCAAATGATCAAATAAACTTTAAAATGAATGAATCTTCATTGAATAGTAAAAAAGATGATAGTGAAAACTGTTTATCATTTGGTAGCAATAAATCTTCAGATTTTTGGAGATCTCCATAGAAAAAATATATTTATTATAATTTTTTATTAATTTAATGTACAATAATAGGGTAGATATTATAATAATTGTAAATAAATATTAAATATTTATAATAGTTATTTTATATTATTCTTTTTTTCATTTAACATATTAACATAAGATACTGATATTAAATCGTTTTCTGAAATTTCTAAAAGAGACATCAGATCAAGTGCAATTTTTTTACCATCATCAGAAGACTGATTTTCATTCAAAACAACCTAAAAAGGATTTAAACATTAAATTAAATTATCATAACTCCATTTATAATATCTACTCACCTCTAATTCAATAAAATTTCCCAAATCTTCCACAGAATCTAGATGCACTCTAGTTTGCCCAACCATAATCAATGTTCTCACTTTTTTTACTACACCCCAAGTACCAAGAGCATTTTTAAGTAAGTCTTCTAATTCTGCAGGCACTAAACATTTTCTATAATTACTTAGGCTAGGTTCATTGCATTCCTTTCTATCATAATATATAAGTTCTTGTGAAGAGTCCTAAATTTTTCAGCATAAATATACAATGATGATAAGAACTAAATTATAATATGTTTGATTTGAAAAATAATTTTATAATTAAGGGATTGAGTTAATAATTTGTTATACATGTTGCATATTAATTACAAGATTACCACAACTCAAAATGTTGAAGTTTTGAGTTATGGCAACAAGTTAATAGTCAATATTTTAATCTACAAGATGTGATACTGCCTCAAGCCATAGCACTACTATACCTTCGTCATATAATTGTATTTATACATTTTTACAGTGAAAAACAAAATTCTAGCATAATTTATATGTGAAGGTGTTTCTAAAATGTATAATATTTTTGAGTTCAAAATTAAAATCAAGACTGCCTTATTTTGATTTAAGGCATTATAAAGTAAAAATAATCAACTGGACAACACCCATAAAAAATGATGCTGTCACAAACCTAAATATGACAGTAATGAATTACTCAACTTTTCTTTTGTTGGGCACAATATTAATAATGACAATATTGATTATTATCATATGATAATCAACCCATATTACAGATCTTCTTTTTTTAACAACTATAAACTATAAGATTGCCGCATTTCATGTTGTGGTATTAGAGTGAAATTCACTTTAATAACTAAACTACCATAATTTTTTTGTAGCATATTAAATATAATTGGTCTAAATAACAAAGACTGACGAAAAACAAAATATGGCAATCCTGTTCTTTCAACACTAATTGCTAAACTATTACAACTACATTTTTGAGATACTGAATAATTTTAGCTTAGTAACATTGAACAAGAATAAAGAGCTTAAAATAACATAAATAATAACAAAAATAAATAATAAGTAAGAAACTTTTAACTTTAAAAATGATAATCTGGGATAAAATTAAATTTTCTCAAAACTATGTTTATTGAGTTGTACCAATAAAGTGATTAAGTCAGGGTGATCCATTTATCACAACTCATAAATTACTTGTGAAATAAGTGGTAGCACAGTGGGAACACAGCATAGTTGGGTCAAGTATAGATAAAATTTGACAAATATTAAAATCACGTCATCAAATAAAGACAATACATTGCCTAACAAAGTCTAAACCACACTTCAAACTATATATTTAAATAACATTTGATAATTAACCCAATTGAATTAAAAGTCTGTTTAATGATAGCCAATTTAACATAAAAAATTCACTATCTGAGTAAATTATTTATTTATTACAATAGTATATCACCACTAGAATGATGAAAAAAAAATAATGTTTAATAATTCAGATCTTTGTTAGTTAATTATAATTTTAGTAATGTAATTGAAATGGTAATCTTTCATAAACCATTGGTAAATCAAACATTTTTTTATAGAAAGGACAAACCTTATTTTTTTAATATACTTATTGGATAGATATTAAAAATTGCAAAAATTCTTCTTGAAAATATTCATATTTAACACTGAAATCTTATTTATTTATTTTGTTGTAAAATAAGGGGAGGATTTAAATAAAGATACTAACCACTATCTCATATATGTCTATAATGTTTAGCCTAAAATATAGACATAAATAATTGAAAAAAATAAATAGAAAATTACAACACAAAAAACTGTGATATTTTATACCAAATAACATTTTTTGTTTAAATTCAGGGTCTGTTAACATATAGACGATAAAATGTCAGTGCAATTTATTTTTTCCTTAATCTATAGTATGTATCATTAAATTCAATTTAACATATGTTTTAAGGAATTTGTACATCTGAAAAATTTTCAAAAATTAAGCTGAAAAAGTTCTAGTTTTTATACGCATGTTTACAGTTTTGACTCCTTTTAATGTCTTCAAATCAGGCTATTTCTCTTCAAATGGCTCAATTTAAAAAAAAAGTATGTATATAAAGTACATTGAAATGATGGAAATTTTTTCAACTTTCAAATTACTGGTAAAAGTTATTTTCGACCTATTTTTTTCTTAATTAGATAATTTACTAATTTAAAGCAAATTAAATATGTAAGTTTCCATTTGAAAATATTAAGGTGACACCCCCATAAGTTATTATGAACGATGCTAAAACTAATTAATAACTGAATATTACAGAAAAAACAGTAATAGTCTAATTTTTATTTATTTTGATTTTATGATTTAATTCTTTAACTAATTAGCAATATTAATAAGTAATAAAATCCATTTGGTGAAAAATACTTTTATTTTACTTATACTGAAATAAATATTTTTGTTCTAGTTATAACGGTGTAGAATTAATAACTTGTTTTTGCATTCTTAAAAAAATAACAAAAATAGACTACTACAATTTTTCCTTTGTATCCTACAACTGATTAATCAAGAAATATATGCGACTAAAAAATAATAATTTTTTTAATACTGTAACAATTTTACGAATTATAAGTGTGTTATGATGAATGGATCATTAGTGATGGCATCTTTCTAATTTTTAATTTAGATTTTTCATCCTTCCACTTATTTTGTTCAAAATATTACAACCATCTTGATATTGTAAAGTATTAAGCATTAAGCATTAAGCTTATAGATTTACATTACTGTTTTACTAATAAAAATTATAATTTTGTATTATAATTATTTTGACTAAATTTCCTAAAATGAATATACAATATTATAGTAGATGTAATAATTTGTTTTAAGTATCCATATTATTGTCTTAAAATTCAGATAATTAAAATTAATCAATATTATTGTATATTATTTAATATTTAGTTAGTTAACCCAAAATAATAATTGAGTAAATCAAACATGAAGACCATCCCTCCACTTATTATGAGCTACTTCGAAAACTAAGGATCATCTGTTTAATATAATCTTAGTAATCTATGGCGATTAACATCTATTGTGTTTATCCAATATAATTAATAGAAAACTTTAAATGAATTCAAAGAATATTTAATTTTTACTTAAATACAATGAAGTATTCAAAATTAAACAATTATATTTTATTTTGTTAATTTAGATAATTGTTCAATATCATAAATTACATATTTTTAAAACCATTGTTTTATGTATGTTAATTTGCACAAATATTAAATTATCACCGTTTTCCTGAGTTTTAATTTTCCACTACTACATTCAGGTAAGTTATAAAATACATCTTCTTGCTTCAATATTAAAACATTATTAGCATCATCTGAGTTTAAACCTAATATACGTTTTTTTAAAATATTTAAATCCCTAGCATATGCTTTAATTTCGATGTTACGAGACATTTTGTAAACAAACTTAGTTAATAATTGATTACGTATAAATGATTGCAGTTTAAAAATTAACTTATTTAAAAATCAAGAAAAATTCAACAAAAATACAAAATCTGCATTTTTAGTTTATAAGTTAATTTTCATTATCAGCTAATCTAATGGCGGGATCAATTTATAAAAATAACACAACCATGGTATATATAAAGGAAAAATTACTTATAAGCATTAAATGTAATTGTTTAAATTAATGAAAATAGAAATGTTCAAACAAATTAAAATGTAAAATAAATTAAGATATATTAAAGTTGTTGTATTGTTTATAGTATTTTAAGCAATACTTTGTTTAATCTTAGTCCAAGTAAAATAAAATTTTTTCATTCTAATTGCAAACTTGAATATTATCAGTTGATCTAGTGCGATTGACGATCTCAGGTATAGTCTATGATTAATTAAATTCAGTTTAATTGAGGTATTTTTAAGTCTTCTATATATTTAGACGAGTGAATCTAAAAATTAAAAATGGCCAGTGAAGTGGAAGAAACTCTTAAACGTATACAATCTCATCGTGGTGTCATTGGTACTATAGTGGTTAATAATGAAGGTTTGAAATTTTCAAAATAAAATTATTCTATATTTTTTGTTTTTTTTTTTTAAAGCCATATAGGTCATAAATAATATAAAAATTATCTTCTAGGTACACCAATAAAATCAACGTTAGATAATGCTACTACTATTCAATACGCTGGGCTAATTCAGCAATTGATTGATAAATCTAAAAGTGTTGTTAGAGATTTGGACCCATCAAATGATTTAATGTTTTTACGAATGCGTACCAAGAAGCACGAAATTATGGTATCACCTGGTAAATACAACATATTTTATCTTAATATACTTATATATGTCTATAAATATTTGTTAAGTTATTTTTAAATCAGTATACGAGTATTTTTTCGTTTAGTTAATTCAAATATTGTATCATACATAAGAATAGACTGGTTTAATGATATGATTAGATAGAAACATATGATATAACTTTCTTATAGCATATATTATTATGACAACCTGAGTAAAACATATAATTCCTTTAAATAATAATATTAATATATAATAAATTAAACTATTTTATGTGTAATTAAATAAATATCATAATATTATAAAAAGAAAATATTGCAATAAAATGACTTAGCAATTAATCAAAGAAAATGTTTGAATAATTAAAATTAATTACTATTTACTAAAAAAGTCCTAAAATTAAAAAATAATTTATAAGTACATTAAGACTATAAATGAGAAAAAAAATTTTAAGTTACTTTCTTTAAATTTTGTTATTTTTCTTGCTGTTTAAGCAAACATAGTTTTAAATAAAGATTATTTTTTTATTTAATCTTAAAAGTTTTACTTTTTATACACAAATTTCATAGATATGACTTTCTCAATATGATTGTACAAAATATAATACAGTAAATATTTTAAACTAAATCAAATTAATCAGATTAATTACTTATGTATATATACATCATTTTACCCTTATATCATGTAATTTTTAAAGTTTAAAATAAAACTCTAGAATCTAATTTTTTCATTTATAATTAAATTCTTAATTATATATATATATTAATTTTGTAAACAATTTTTTTTTAGATAAAGATTTCATCATGATTGTTATTCAAAACCCAACTGAAACACAACCTTAAAGATTGTTTAAATTATAATTTGACACACTGCATTTAATATGCTATAAAAACTAATAACATTTCTCTGTAAATATGTATTGAATATAATATAACTTATTTTGTACATAATAATACTTTTATTAAAAAAATACTCTTTAATATAAAAAATCATATTAATTTGATCAGTCTTATAATTTTTTTTAAGATTGCTCATAAGGTTTTAAAATACATTTTGTGTTTCCATTGATCTGATATAAGTCTTCTTGAAAAGTGTTATGTGGATGAAAAAATTTGTAGTAGATGGTCATAAATAATATTCCAACAAAAAATGGTAATATTGATCCAATCATCAAGGGATAATAATACCATTGAGTTTGGTCATTTCCTGTTAAAGACCAAATAATCACAGCAGATAAATTCTCTAGTAAAAAAATACCATAATAACCAAGATAACGGTATCTTGATCTTCCTTGTCCTTCACTGGGAGATAAATAAGTAAATATATATACCAATCCTAATATGGTAGAGAAGAAAAATCGAATGGCACCTTTTTCTTTAAATTTATTTACTGGCATACAAAAAGTTACATTTTGAAACATAAAAATCCATAAAGTCATAGAAAACCAATGAACAAAACAAGATACACCAGTTGAAATTGGCCATACAATAGCAGCTAAACTGATAGAAAGTATTCTGGAACCTGAAATTGTATAATTAAATTAAAAAATTAAACAACTACAAAAAAAAATTGTAGAAAAACTTAAAACAATTAAATTAAAAATTGTATAGATTAACCTGCCTGTAATTGATATGTGCCATAAAAATTGTAAAAATGTACCAACATTTCCAATATTCTTCCTTTCTTCAAAAGCAATTCTAACATTTTTGTGGTAAGATGCCATAGCCCAGGCTATACCAATAGTAGAACTTAATATTGATGCAGCTTGATGTATAACTAAAATAAAAATTTTGGAAAATAAATAAAACTACAAATTGACAATGGATTTTAATAATGGCTTATTTAAAAAATGTAAGTGAATTTTTTGGCTTTTATATTACAAATGAGAGCCATTTATTTAAATGGTTGTTATATATTTATATAACAACTTTTTATTTAATCTGAAGATCCAAATATAGTTTATTACCAAAGTTTATATTATTTAATCATTAACAAAATTACCCATTAAAATAATTTTCAATATACAATAAAAATTGATCCTTTGTGGCTAATATTATCTAAAACTAAAAAAAATTAAACTCAAAAATTGCGGATACATATTTAGGAACACAATTTTTTTTGTGACTTTTTGAGTTCAATATTTTTAATAATTTTCATTATTAATATTACTTACATTTATAAGTAAACTATTGTTTTTAAACAAATATTCCAACTGAAATATTTATCATAAGAAAAGTACACATCCTTTCATTCACAAAAATGGTCTTACCTCATTTTAAAAAAAAAGGGACAATATTAATTGACCTATGAGGTAAAGAAATAAAAAAATAATTACAAAATTTTCACCATGATATAGTCACAAAATAAATATGTTTTTTCTCTTGTAAAATATAGCTTAATCCATAATACACTAGGTACAGATCCAATAATAATTTTTTTTGGGGGACCATTTAACTATTTGCAAAACAGTACTATTTTTTAGAAAGATGCTCTTTTTTTATAAAAATTATTCTAATTTTAAGAGAATCATATTTCCTATAGCATTCCATATGTATCTGTGCCTGTCACATACATAAATAACATATTTAGTGATTTTAAAATAGACAGAATATTATGCACTTACAAAAATTAAGTATAAATAACACTGTCAGATGATACTTAAATGTCATCATACATCATTTAAAATTTCAAATAATTTAGTAGTACTATAAAAGTAAATAATATAATAATATTTGAAATCATTTTATTGTAGAGTCTAACTAGTTTAGCAATCAAATATATTTATTTTTATCAACAGAAAACAAACTTAAGATCATTTTTTAAATTATTAATTAAACAAAAAAAATATTCTCATATTTTTATTTGATTATTTCAATAGTTTAATCTTTCAAAATTATTGTAATGGAAAGTGAACTAATTAATCACAAAATTTCAAAAGAAAAAAAACAGTGTAGTACAAAATAGTATAAACTTGACATAGTGAGCTCTAGATATAGTTGAAAGTTTTGACTTCAAACCATTAAATATCTAAGAATGATTAAAATTACTAAATTAAAAACTGTTTATACTAATGTGAATAAAAAAGTTTTAAACATTTTTGAAAAATGAGGTTATATTTAAACTAAAGGGGGTGTTGCTGAAGTTTAAAAACTCTAATACATAGGGAAAAAGCCAAAAGTGTGTAATTTTAAAGAAATTATGCTGTTTTTAATTTATAGAATCCTTTAAAAAGATGTGAAATAAACAAGTATATAACTGTACTTTGAAAAGTAGAACCATGCTTTTTCTCAACTAAAACAATACAAATTTGTAATATTTGCTGAGGAACTGCTTCAAGGAAACATTCAAAGAGGCGCAATAATGATACATAAGAGTCTTCTCTGGCCATTAGAGCATAATATTTTCTTTGATCATCATAATTCTTTTTTTTAGCTTCTTTGCGAGACTTTAGAGCATATTTTAATACATCATAATACCTTAAACATACAAAATTATGTTGAAACTCAATTTCGTGAATATTAATTTTTTTTAGGTATTTTAAATAGTAGTAATTTCTGGAAATATACAAAACTAAAAAAAGTTTTTTCACTTAAAGGAATATAGTGGCTTCCTTCATAATGAGATTAAAAGTTAATATTTTATTATGTCAGTTCCTGAATAAAAACAAAAATGATGTTTACACCTTTTTAGGCTTGATATTACATGATTCATAAGAACTTTTCTTGCTTCATTTATAATTAAATAATATTATTTTTTTGTTTCTACTAATCACTGATTTTTTTTAATCAATTTCCAAAATAAAAAATTTTAACTATGAAAAAAATTATTCATATGCTAAATGAAGGAAAGAATAATTATAAAAACCTAAGCTGTAGTTTCATTTACATTTAAAAATTATATAAATTAAATGTATGATAAGAACAGCAAATATTGTTATTCACAGTATAAATATAAAGAAATTTAATATTTTTATTAAAATAGATTAGTATAATAATGTATCTTAAATAAAATACCGGAACACAGGTGCCATTTGTAATACTATCATTACTGGGAGTAACACTGGGTTTTTCAACAATTTCCTAGTAACTTTCTGCATACCTCCTTGTAAAGAGTAACTAAATAAATTAAAAAAAATATATTTAGATGTATAATAACTACCTTATCTCATAATAATAACATACATTTTAAGACTCATATAAGTGTTAATAATTGATGGAATGACCATAAAGGTAATAGTTAAAATAAAATAAATAGATTTTTCATATATGTAATACTGATAGGCAACATTAAAATCAATGCAAACATCAATAACGTGACTGACTATTGCGATGATTAATCCAAGTAATTCCCAGTATGATATACTAAGATCTTGAGGTAATTTATCAGGCTCGTCTAAGTCAAACATTGATCTTTGATTATCTTTTCTCATGTTTTTTATAAATATAAATTTGTACGCAATAATGAACTGATGATCAAGTTAATCATGTTGAGAATTCTTTAAAAAAAAAATAGCACCCACCATAATTTTTACAATTAAGCTAAAAAATATTAACTAGAAAAAGAAAACACAACTACTACTTAATAAAAAAGCTTTCAAAAATAAAAATTAAATTATTATTAACAATTTAAAATTAAATTTAATTGGAACATTGCCTTTTATTGTATTACCTACAATCTACGTTAATTATATACTATTTGAATATTTTTTATTTTTGTGATAAAGAGAATGTGATAAGCATATATGTATAATAGCCATTATAACCTATACACAGCAGTCGGTATATTACAAACCACTTGATTACTCTCAAGATAAATACTATATTGAAAAAATATTTTTTTGCTTTATTTTAGTTACATATATTTCTTGATTAATCAGCTAAAAGTTACTTTTTGAAATCATCCTTAATAATTTAAAGGGATGTCAACTTTATTTTTTTAATCGTAACATCTATATATAACTAGCTAATAAATAAAAAATAATTTAATTAAGAAAATTACTGATCGATAATAACTTATGGAACAGTACTTGAGGAATGACCCATTTTTATATCTAGGCGAAAGGAAGAGTAACGGCCAGGAAACGACTAGTAATAAAAGTAGCAGCACTAACTCCAGACCATAGTTAAGATTGTTAACTTTTTAAGAAGTTACATAAATTTTAGAAAAACATATTTACATCATTCAGAAAACGCTAACAGCATATCCAAATATTAACATAATATACCTTAGTAACTAAGAATAATACTGTATATACTGTATGATGTATAATACTTTATACGATGACTCTAATAAAATATTTAGCAAACTTTTTTAAATGTATGCAAAGGTGGCTCGTGGGTGCTGATGGTGAGGATGCGACTTTGAATATAATAACGTTGGTCATAGGTATAAAAAATTGTCAATTTAAATATAATAAAATAAAACACAATACACATATTATTAGTTTAAAGGTCAAAGTAGAAAATAGATATGAAAGTAGTAATAATAGCACCAATTATACTATTGTAGAAACCGATAACGACGAGCGTACACGCAATTAATTCTAAAAATAAATTACTTAATATAGTAATATACTAATATTTTACCGTATGGACGACGCTGCTGGTCGTATAATAATATACGTTCAAAATATTGCTCAGACGACGCTGTGGTCATCCAAACACTGCTCGTGTATGCGTAGCCGCATATACTGAGGGAAACAACTCTAATGTTCGCACAAATCAAATGTATTATAACTATTTTACTATTTAAAAATTTTTATTATTAATAAAAATGTAGAATTGAAAATATACAATCGTCTTCTTATACCGTCACCACTGACTGAAACATAGTATACATTTGTAATTTAAAGAAAATCTATTTTTTCCTTCACTTGAAGAATATGTTTTTTTAACATACATTTATTATTATTAATTATTATATGTTTATAATTATTATATGATATATGTTAATCAAAAAAATCTTTAATTAATGACAATATATTTATCACGAATTAGAAATAACACAGAATATTATTAAAATACATTAACTTTTAAGTATTAACAAAATTTTTATTAATAATTTAAAGTACTTATAAATTTAATTGAAACATTAACAGAATAAATATCACAAACTGCTGGTTTTGTACCGTTATGTTATAAATAAGGATAGTAAAAATTATACGAATCTATCTGTAACTTCATACAGTCTTCTAAACCAAGATGATCATCTTTTAAACAATAACAGCACCTGTAGATACGAAACAGTATTAATTTGATTATTTTTGATATTAAACCATTCTACATTACCTTCGAACATAAGGGTCTCCAATTATTTCTACATCATAGGCCCATTTGGGCTGTGTATCATCAACAACAAATTTCACTTTTTGTGGATATTTAAAAGGTCGATCAAAACCTAAATTTAAATCTTCCTGAAAAAAAGATAATTTTAAACTTTAGGATCTATTTAATCAATATATGTTCACTTTTGTGCCTACATGCATATCTCGATATTTTTAATTATTCCGAGGGAAACAAAAATACACTATTGTATATAACTTTAAATAAATTTTTTTTTATTCTTTAATATCCCCCGAAAAATATTCAAGATTTATTAACATAATAAATAATTGTTTTTTTATTATTAATTAAAATAATTGTTGGTGAGCGGGATTATTAACCGTTAAAATCGAACGCTCAATTAACCTTATTTTTATGATATAATTTTTTTTTTAATTTGTTTGATTAATGTAATAAATATTAAATTTAATATGAATAAATAAAATGTACGAAATATTTGTTCCT